CTTGTCAGCAAATAAAATGATTTTCACAGACCAAACGGATGTATATACTTCTTCGTTTATTTATCTCATCCTCAAGTCTTGTGTTTATCCTTCGGGATAGATATAGTCTGAGGTATAGTGCTCTTTCATTTAAACTGTGAAAAGTATGAGGTCAGTTTGATTTCATATTTTTCTTAAAACTTATATATATATGTAAATTAAACGTCTTTCCGAAGAAGGAAACGAAATTTCAATTTCGGCAACCGACAGCTTCTTACGAGTAACTCCCCCAACTTTTTAGTGCCGACATGTGCTTACTTTTATAATAATTGCAGAACAATGAGCTCGAGGTATTCAGAGAAGTCAGGGCAAGTGATGTGCTGATGTGGGCTACCGTCATTGCTACTTACGTCACGACATGCACATAGCTACGGGCGGCAATTCTATAGGTGCCCGTGGTGGGGACAAGGACCAGAAGACTGCAAATTTTTCAGGTGGACCGACAGTGCTACTGTTTCTACGATATCCCAAGTCGACATAGGTGCTAGGAGTTCGATAGTATCATAATGGGAGATCACCGCATGTGGTTCGAGTTCTTCTGTTTATATGATTGCAGGTTCGAGTTCGATAGTATCTCAGTCAGACAGGTTTGCTCGTGATTTTGAGGTATCAGAACCGGACAACAGTCGTCGTGATCTGATTTTACATTTTAAAGTTAATATTGACATATTTTTCCTTGTAATTTTAACATGTTATTTTTTTGGGGGTCATATTATAATCTGTATTAGTGTGTGAATGTATGCTTTACTTTCATATATGACCCTGTGCTTATTTGATGTAATCAGAACTTTTTGAGTTATATAAATGTTATTCAACTCTTTTGCATTTTCATGTGGTGACATTTGAGAAAATATTAAATTACGCGACACAGATTATTAATTTAACTAAAAAAAAATTGTGAATAAACTGTTTACCAAAAATAAAAACCAAACAGATAAATAACTTATTTAGAACTTGGGCAGAATAGTCATTTTTCTAAAATCAGCTGTTTTACATAAAAAAAAAACCAAACAACCAGACAACTTATCCGGATCAGCTGCTCATCAGTAGATTATCAGAATCAACTGCTTATCAGCAGAAGCTGGAAGCTGCAGCTGCCCCAAACAGACCCTTATGTTTGGGGCAGCTTGTGCGTTTCAGGATAATGTGCTAATTCTAAAACGCGGCCAGCGGTGGTTGCGTGCTGGCCGCGGGAGTCGACTTGCGTTTAGTGTAAAAACTTAAACGTAATTTCAAATAAATTGGCGAAATGCGCGAACCAAACAGTACGAGACATTTTGAAATGCAGCCCGCATTTATAAGCTAAACATACCCATAATAATCAGCTCGCACGCACTTTCTTCCAACCAAACCACAATCTCGTGTATTAAAATGCCCCATCCGGTAGGCTACCTATGCGACTCCTTCCCGTCTTACCTAAGCTTGGCTTGTTGGTTCGCATCCAGCCGCTCATATTCAATCCCCATCCACCGCTGCTTAATCGGAGGGACGAAACTTCTTCTTCGTACGCGTCACAATCCGCATGAAATCTGTCAACTACTCCGGCCAACCAACCCGATGGCAGCATCTCACCTAAAAATAAAGTCCGAGATTTTAGCCACGTGTCATTTTCAGATCGACTTATAAGATTGGGTCCACGTTAAGCAGATGCGATGCGAGGGATCATCAGAAAGCTCTTCGGGGAAAGTGCGATTTCATTTTTTTTTCGTCGTTTCACTTCTCCCACATAGCAAAAGAAAGGAAGACTTCAACCATATTCATCTTCCTCGTTCACGTCTGCGTAGCATTTGCTGTGCGCGAGAAGAGATGTCGTGCTCGTCTTCGTCGGGATCGGAGGAGGACGAGGGTGTGGATGCGTACAGGAAAGGAGGCTACCATGCCGTGAGGCCGGGAGATCACTTTAACGGAGGAAGGTACGTCGCTCAGAGGAAGCTTGGGTGGGGGAATTTCTCCACAGTATGGCTTGCCTACGATACGAGATGCAAGGTTCGATCGCTGTTTGTGCTCTAATCTTGGTGCTTTAAGTGATTACTGATGCCGAGTCATAATCGATAAGCTGATCATTTTGGGCACCTGATGTGTGATTCTTGAACCTTTCCGTCTCAAGTTTGAGTGACTTTCATTAGAAATTTTTCTCATTGGTTTGCTGTTTTTTGGTGTTTTTCTACTTCTTGGCCTATTTATCGTGTTGATTTATGCTTGGAGGATGCGTGTAAATTGTGATTTATGCTTTATCCCTATTTCTTATTTGTATTTTATCTTACGGAAAAGCCAGTTTGCTGGATTTTGGTTTCTTTTGCAAATCAGATTGCTGATTAGTGAAAACTGAACCTTTTCTGGATGGTGCTTTCTGCTTGTAGTTTAGATTTCTTACGCGGTACATGTCTAATTCCTTGTTATGCTTATTTACATAAAAAGAAAAAAAATTCAATCTTTAAATAACATCAAATTTATCATAAGGCCAAACTTCTGTTAAACATCTCCAATATCTTTTTTTTTTTGGGCGTGATAGAAACATTTCTGCATCTCAACAAATTCGTGAACTTTTCTTTTCTAGCACCCGAATGACCAATGGAAATGACGGTCTCTTTATTGTCACCTCTCAGTGCCTAGACTTTGATTCCATGGCTTCTGGAACACTAAAGTAACTTCAAATAGAAGACACTAAGTATAAGATCCTTTGGTAGAGTAAGCTGTTAAATTTCACCGGGGCAGAGTTTAGAATACCATGGCTGGCTTATATTCTAGTCTTTTTAAAGGTTTTATAAGTTGAGCACAGTGGTGATCACATCTACTGATGGCCTGATGAGATTTATAAGTTATATAGACAAATAGGAGAAATAATGCAGAACCGCTGTAATGGATTGACAAATTGGAATGCGAAGTTGGATGCAATGCTAGGAGACATCCCACAGAGATGAGATAGAGGTGGAGAGGAGATTGAAGCCATGGATGACGGAGACGGAGAATTGAAGATAAAAGATGGTAGAGACAAGAGACAAAGAAGGGAGCTATTTGAATGTGAGCGTTTATGTGGAGTTTCAGTGTATTTATGAAGTGCTGGTAAGCTGAGGTTTAGATTTGTGGTAAATTTGATGTTTTAAATAGAGTAACATGTAATTCATGTAAATAAGAATAATTGGGTGTTAGATATTTGAAGAAATAGAAATTGGTTTCTAAATCCCCTTATTAGTTTGGTTTTAATTTGTTCTTTTCTTTTCTTTTTATCAATTTATATATATCTCATTCATACTTCTCTCGTTGCTTTTTATGTTTCTAATTTTTCTTTTTTTTAAAATTCTACATGCTAGATGCTTACAAAGGCTCAACATATCGTTTTAACATTTTGTTATTTAGCTGAAAAGTTATACCAACCACTTAAATTTTATTTAAAATTATTATTTGGCTATATTTAGCATCTATAATTCACTTAAACTTCATTTGCTTGACAGAAATTTGTTGCTCTTAAAATTCAAAAAAGCGCCTCAGACTTTTCACAAGCCGCTCTCCATGAGATTGAGATTCTAACAGCTATTGCTAAGGGTGATCCATTAAATTGCAAATGTGTTGTCCAATTTATTGACAAATTCAAGCATGTCGGTCCCAATGGTCAACACCTATGCATGGTATTTGAATTTCTTGGAGATAGCCTACTACGGCTAATTCGTTATAGTCGATATAAAGGAATTGGAATAAAAAATGTGAAAGATGTGTGTAGATCCATTTTATGTGGCCTTGATTATTTGCACAGGGAGCTTGGAATTATCCATTCTGATTTGAAACCTGAAAATATTCTTCTTGTTTCCACCATTGATCCTTCAAAGGATCCCATACGTTCAGAATTTACTCCAATGCTAGAGAGGCCAGAAGGAAGCATAAATGGAAGTTCTGTTGTTAACAACATTGAGAAGAGGCTCAAGGAGAGGGCTAAGAGGGCCAGAGTTCGAATCTCAGAAAGAAGATTTTCAATGGAAGGTGTTGGGCAAGGGGGAGTGCAAAAGGAGAGGACTTTGGAGGGGATTGATCTAAGATGCAAGATTGTAGATTTTGGTAGTGCATGTTGGGTGGATAAGAAATTTGCAGGTGAAATTCAAACAAGGCACTATAGAGCTCCTGAGATTATTCTTGGGGCTGGATACTCTTTTTCTGTTGATCTATGGTCTTTTGCTTGTATTGCTTTTGAACTTGCCACTGGTGATATGTTGTTTTCACCTAAAACTGGAGAAGGATTTACAGAAGACGAGGTATGCCTTTTCTTTCCTGTTTACATTACTACTAGTATTTTTTTTTTAATGTTTTTTTCTAACCTGATGAAATATAAAAAGAAATTAGTACTTCAATAAAGCTTTGACTAAGTGTATAAAAATGAACAATTAGTCAGACGAAGTTTTCCCTTACTATATTCATGTTATCTAAGTGAGAGCTTTGTTTCTATCATAATGAACCTTTAATTATAAATCATCAATTGTTAAGGTATTAATTAGCGCAATGACATGTGGGTCAATGATCAGTTTGTTTTGCTATTCTTTTTTTTACTAATCGAAAATTGCTCTTCTCGTAAAGGTATTTGTAATTAAAATTTTAGTTCTTCTCTTAAAGAACTAAATTGATTTCATAACAGGAAATTAAATTTATTTATATGCAAATGCAACATTAATAAATTCTTGTTTGCTTCCTAAACAAACTCTACAAAGAAAGTAGTTCTATGTACATATAATCAATCATATAAGGTCGAATTAAATGATAATTCCAGTTTCAAATTATCTCAACCCTTAACTACAAATTCAATATCAAGCATAACCAAATATTTAAAAAGAAAAACAAAACGAATTCGGCCTTACTGTGTTGTTACATGAAATTTGATCCAATGTTGTTGATTTTTCTCATTTGGTGTTCAGTTGACGATCTGAGCACATATGTATTCCCGAGAACATTCTACTTGATCTGAACAATATGATCTGAGAACGCATGTCAGTAATTTTCAAGGAGAACCGGGCAGTTCAATTTTTAACAAACATAATCTCGTTTTTTTTTTTTCGTTCATAGTTGATCTGATCTATTAATTATTAGATATAGTCACTAGATCACTTAATGCTTAATAAAGAAATATATACAATATGTAAATGCCAAGTCAATTCAAGTCATTTTATCATTGCACATGAAAATAGAGTAAGAATAAAAATAAATTTCATTTAAAATTCTCATTCCTAAAATACCATCAAAGTTAAAGGTTGGTATTAAGTTAATACCATGAAATTCAATATAGCGACTAATTTGGATCAAATTTTCAATAATCTTGGAATAATATGGAGCTCTTTAAAAATCTGGGATTAAATTGGTCACTTGTTGAAAGCTGGGGACTTGATTTGGGCTTTTGTTCTTTCGAAATTAGGTGGGATTTTTTAAAATTGAACTCTCTCTCTCTCTCTCTCCTTCCCTATAGGTTCAAAAGGTTTGAAATGAGTGATTTCTTTTCTTTATGACTTAATATATAATATATTGATGAGTTGGGGGATGGAAGTATTGTGTGGAAGTGTGAAAAGAATGCGGGGATTGGGAATTGCAATTGCTGTCATTTGATTCACATAAAATGTGTTGGCCAAGAGTCGTTTAATTGAGACATTTTCTTTTTTACTTTTTTGTTCAGTTTCATAAAACAAATGTTGAATTCAAGGCTAAATGCTTTGAAAAACTAAGATGATTTGGAAGTAACAAGCCGATGTCATTATCTAAACGCTCTTTAAATACAGATTACCTTATAAAGATGTTTTGTATTCAGGAATTTTAGCTGTAATACTAAGTGATGATGTGTGGGGCAGCGGTAATGGTGATTATGGGTAAACATTTGATATCTTAATTGTTGAAATGGAAATAAACTAGTGTAGATGGAGAAGTAGGGAGATTAAGATAGGAAGGAAGTTGAGAATACTGAAAGAATGAATTTCTAATAGGAAAGGAAATAGAGATAGAAAGAGAAAGAATGCATGAAGAGAACTTATGATTTTGGAGAAGGGAGCTATCAATTCTCTTTTTGTCTTTTCTCATAAAATCAACTGAAGTCCTACTATTTTTAATTGTAGATATATTCATGAATTTTTTAGCCTTGCTATAATTAATATCATAGCAACATACTAAATCGGTAAATAATCGTTTATTATTTTAATAATTAATAAAAAGAGAGAAAAACCAATAACATAATTTAAAAATCATACGTTTTTCATCATAGTATCAATTGAAGGTCTACTATTTATGATAGTGTATATTTTCATGAACTTCTTGGTCTTTGCTAAAATTTTGTAACTTTAATTATTGATAAAGAAAATTATACTTGAAGGATACCTTTTGATGGTTGATAGTTGAAATAATTAAGGGGCACCCTTATCATTTTGTTTCATGAACCGGGTTAAATCACCTGAAGAACTGTAGCTTATGCATCCTTATTTTTTTTCTAGGCACCATACTGATTGTGATAAGTTCCTTATTACAGTTAACTTGTACATTAAGGAGCTGCTCGGTTGATTGTATTAAGATGTACTGTGTTTGAAATTCAGGTATTTTACATAGTTGACTATTGGTTTTAAGAATAATAAATGTAGATAAATTATCAATTTTATTAAATACACTCCATAGCTCGTATTTGTGGAATTTGGTATTTGGAAAAATGTTTGTGGGTTTTACTTTAGTATTTGAAAAAAATAGTGGAAAAATATTAGAGGGCTTATTCTTATTGATACAAAGAGGGTATAAATATACATTACAAGATATACTGGTAAGGAAAACAATAAAAACATAATACAGTAGGTAAGGAAATGAATAATAATAAATATAAGAGACAACTAATCTCTCTAAACTAATCTCTCTAATTAAGGACTAATTAAGGAGACAAAATAACTAGAGATTCCTAAGATCCATTATACAATTTATAACCCTCTAAATATATAGTTATAACAAATATGAAATATAATCATCATTATTTGCGAGATCTTTCAATGCTTTTCCTCAAGCTGACATGAAGATGTCACTCATGTCAAACTTGCTAAATAGATTCTCGTGTTGTACTTTGGAAAAACTTTTTGTTAGAATATCTACTGTTTGGCTAGCAGTGGGTATGTAGGACATACATTTCACACCACTAACTATCTTCTGCTTGATGAAATGATTGTCACTTCTACATGTTTTGTTTTGTCATGTAGAACTGAATTATGAGCTATAGAGATTGCAGCTTTGTTGTCGCAGTAAATTTTGATAGATGCTGGTATAGGAATCTTTAACTATTCCAGGAGTCTTTTTATTCATAATACTTCACAGAGTCCATGTGCGTCCATGTGCCACCGAGTCTATGTGCCACTGAGCGGAATTTTGCTTCAGCACTATTTCTTGCTACCACACTTTGTTTTTTACTTTTCCAAGTAAACAGATTTCTTACTGCAAATGTACAATAACCTGATGTGGATCTTCTATCATTTACGTTTCCTGCCCAATCTGCATTTGTGAAGGCTTCTATTAGAAGATGTTCTTCCTTTTTGAACAAAAGTTCTTTTCCAGTTCTTTTGAGATATCTCAAAATTCGGAATACAACTTTGAAGTGAGTATGTATAGGTGAATGCATGAATTGACTAACCACACTAACTGCAAAGACTATGTTAGGTCGAGTGTGAGCCAAATAGATTAGTCGTCCTACCAGTCTTTGATAGCGAGCTTTGTCCATTACCTCATTAGTGTTGCTATTTTCAACTTTATATTAGGTTTAATTGGCGTATATGCTGCCTTGCAACCTGTCATTCCTGTTTCTTTGAGTAAATCAAGTACATACTTGCGTTGATTGACAAAAATTCCCTTGGATCTTGCAAACTCTATTCTGAGGAAATATTTAAGCTTTCTCAAGTTCTTAATATCAAATTCGGCTTCAAGTTTTCTCTTCAAGTTGCTAATCTACAGAGGATCATCCACTGCAATGATTATGCCATCTACATGCACAATCACAATGGCTACTTTACCTTTGATGGAATGTTTGAAAGGAGTGTGATCAGCTTGGCTTTGAGAGAATCCATGTCTCTTGATAACGTCACCAAAACGTTCAAACCAAGCTCTAGGAGACTGCTTTAACCCGTATAGAGACTTTTTTAATTTGCATACTTTACATTTTTTAAATTTTTTTTCAAATACGGGTGGTAGGTCCATATATAATTCTTCTCGCAATTCTCCATTTAAAAACACATTTTTACATCAAACTGATGAAGTGACCAGTTGAAGTTAATTGCAAGAGAAAGAAGTACTCTAATAGAGTTAATTTTAGCAACAGAAGCAAAAGTCTCTTGGAAGCAAAAGTCTCTTGGTAATCAAGTCTCTTGGTAATCAATACCACGAGTTTGAGTAAATCTTTTTGCTACTAGTCTCGTTTTATCTCTCTACACTTCTATCAACTTTAAACTTCACCATGAACACCCATTTGCACCCCACAAGTCTTTTTGTCGTTAGGAAGATGAATGACTGTCCAAGTGTTATTTCTTTTAAGAGCATTTATTTTTTCCATCACAGCTAATTTCCAACTCGGTTCACCTAATGCTTCCTGAACAGTTCTTGGATAAAATATATTAGAAATCCTCGACACAAATGCGCTGTGATTCTATGATTTTTTTGATAGTTTTTCATATGACAGTTCTTGGAATAAAAATATTTCTTTTAAGAGCATTTATTTCTTCCATCACAGCTAATTTTCAACTAGGTTCACCTAATGCTTCCTGAACAGTTCTTGGATAAAATATATTAGAAATCCTCGACACAAATGCGCTGTGATTTTTTTGATAGTTTTTTATATGACAAGGATTGTGTGGTAGGATGTTTTGTGCTTGTTCGGATTTCTTTTCTGAAAGCAATTGGAAGATCAAGATCAGAATGAGTGGAAGTAGAGGGAAGGTTACTCCGAGGTTACTCCGAGTTGTAGGCTCCGAGTTGTAGGGCCATTATTCGACAAGGGTGATTGAAGATTGAACATCTGTTGAGGGAACATCTGGGGCTGTAGTAACCTTATAGAATTTCTTCATAGTATAAATTTGCAGCTCATGTTGAGGATTATGATCCGTTGGAAGTACTTCTCCCCCCATCTCTGGTAAGGTTATATCTGACAAAATAGGATTACTAGTGCTGACCCTAATTTCTATATCAGAATTAGTTAAAGAAATGAGTAAAGTTTACCAAAAATTATTTTCTTCAACTAAATTCTCCCCTGAAGAAAATTATTTTGAAAAAACGGGTGATCCTCGATAAACTTGACATCCATGCTCTCAAATTTTTTTTTTTAACAGGATTAAAGCATTAGTACCCACGTTTATTGGACACATACCCAATAAAAACACATTTTTCAGCTTTGGGATCAAGTTTTGAGCGAAATATATTTGGGACATGCACATAGCAAACACATCCAAAAACTTTTAAAGGGAGATCAACAATTATCTTAGCTGTGGAACAATAATTTTTTAAGACTTGTAAAGATGTTTTAAATTTCAGAACTCAAGATGACATTCTATTTATTAAATAACAGGAGGTAAGGAGTGCATTACCCAAAAATATTTAGGAACATCCATGCAAAACATAAGTGCCCTGGTAACTTCGAGTAAATGTCTTTTTTTTTTTTCAGTAATACCATTTTGTTATGGTATGTCACGATAAGTGAATCGATGCAGTATATTTTTTCAAAATAAATGTTCGAAAAAAATTGTTGAGATATGTAGTCTCATTATATGTTCTTAGAATGCTAATTTTTGTTTGAAATTGATTTTCAATCATGTGGAAAAAATTTTTAAATCGTTGATCAACTTCAAATTTCTTTTCCAATAAATACACTCAACAAACTCGTGTGTGATCATCAATAAATGTTACAAACCATCTTTTTCGAGAAAGTGTTAACTTTGGAAGGTCCCCAAACATCACTATGCATCAAATAAAATGGTTTTGAAACATAATATGATTTTATTGGAAACGAAACACGGTGACTTTTAGATAGATTACACGCTTCACAATGAACTTTTGAACAATCAATACTTTTAAATGGTTTAGGAAATAAAAATTTGAGATATGGAAAATTAAGATGCCTTAATCATTTTTACCATAACATAACTTGATCACAATCAAAGTTTGAACTTCTACTACATAATCCATGAGCTGTTTTATTTGCATAATCAGTTTCATCATAGTAATACAACCCGTTCATTTTTCTAGCAGTTCCAATCATCTTCCCCGAGTTTCGCTCCTGAAAAACACAATTGGAAGGAGAGAAAAAAATGGAATAATCAGAATCTTTAAACAAACAAAAAGAAGATTACATGTAAGTTTTGGAACATACAAGACATTTCAAAGAGATTTTTTCTGAAATTTTAATATTTACTTTTCCTGCAATAGGTGAAAAATTGTCAACAAAGTTTTGGAACATACAAGACATTTCAAAGAGATTTTTTCTGAAATTTTAATATTTACTTTTCCTGCAATAGGTGAAAAATTGTCAACAACAATTCTGATTTTTTTGGAACCGGAACATGGATAATATGAATCAAATAATTGAGAACAGCTTGTCATATGATCAGAGACTCCTGAATCAATGATCCAAGGAGTGGTACTTCCTAGAAAAGCCAAAGGATTACTACCTGCTTGTGCTATCGAACCGATAGACGCATTAGATGATGAGCAAGATTTTAGCAGTTTAAGAAGATGACTTAATTGCTTTTTACTAGGTGGAGATGACTCAGTCTCATTTGTGATAGGTGTGCTATGTTCACCAGATTTTTTTCCTTTACGGTTAGGTGATTTAACATGCAATTTTCAACATTTTTCACGAATATAGTGTGGCTTTTCACAGTAGTCACAGTGCATGTTGTTTTTGTCTTCTACATTGGTTGTGAGAAGATTTCTTGCTTACTTGAGCTTCAGGAATAACCAGCTCTGATCTTTCCACGGACTCGATTGAACCTGTCGTTTTCTTTCCCAACATCACATGTCTCTGACTCTCCTCTCCTTACTTCCGCAAAAACTTCACTAATTGGAGGTAGGGATTTCTTCCAATTATTCGGCCACGGACCTCATCAGATTTCTTCCAATTATTCGGCTTCCAATTATTCGGCCACGGACCTCATCATATTCAACGTTTAGACCTGCAAGAAATTTGAAGATTCGACCAGTATTCACTATCTTCTTGTACTGGTTGTCGTCATCATTTGATTTCCATTCATGGTCGTTGAATAAGTCCAGGTCATGCCAAATCCGCTTAAGAGAATTAAAATACTTTGTTACAGAATCCTCACCTTGGCAAATTTCTCCAAGTCGTAGGGTCAACTCATAAACTTGAGATTGATTTCCAAGATCAGAATACATTTCTGAAACATTATCCCATAATTTCTTGGCTGTAGAGTAACACAGATAATTTGTACCATCTCTTCAGTCATGGAATTGACCAACCATGTCATTACCATTTAGTTTTCTGCATCGCAAATGACATAAGTCATGTCATTCACGTCATACTGTTTAGTATCATATGTGATATAGCCAATCGTTTCTCTTCCTCGGATATACATGCGAAGAGATTGTGATGATCGAAGAAAATTATCACAATTTAGTCGGATTGTAATGATTTGAATGAGATGATTTTCATATATATTTCTCTGAGGTTCGGACTGAGATAGCTGAAGACGTTGACTTGTCCTAGACGTGACTTTAGACATTTTAGAGGTGAAGGACTGTGAATTTGCTTGAGCCCAAGATTCGCCCGCCGAAGCAAAAGATTACCGCTTCGGAGAATTACCGCCTTCAGGATCGAGCGGTGAGCGGTACAGAGGTGAGCGTCTTTCACGAGACAGGATCGAGCGCAGGCGAAGCAGACGAGCCTTTAGAGAATTATCAAGTGGGATCGAGCTCTCCAGGCGAAGCGGTTTTCACGAGACGGGATCGAGCGCAGGCGAGGCAGGTGGCTTTTGTGAGACGGGATCGAGCGACACAGAGAGGATCGCACAGGGCATCGAACAGTTCCACGATCGAGATCGAACAGGCGAAGCAGACGACTCTAAGATTGAACAGCTCCAAGGATTCAGATCCTCAATATTCGACGAGTCTTTGATACGTGGAAAAATATTAGAGGGCTTATTCTTATTGATACAAAGAGGGGTATAAATACACATTACATGATATACTGATAGAAAAAACAATAAAAACAGAATACAGTAGGTAAGAAAATGAGTAATAATAAATATAAGAGGGAGCTAATCTCTCTAATTAAGGAGACAAAATAACTAGAGATTTCTAAGATCCATTGTATAATTAGAACCCTCTAAATATAGAGTTATAACAAATATGGAATATAATCATCATTATTTGCGAGATGTTTTAACAATATCATAATGGTTGTTCATAATCTACACGCCAACATTATTGTCATATAATATAAATTATTGGAATAAAAGAATGATAACTACTGTCCCTTTTATCTTCTGCCTCACATTCTTTCATCTCTTGTTGCTCTTTCAGAACTTATTGGTCTAAATTTGCAGGACCACTTGGCTTTGATGATGGAACTCCTTGGAAAGATGCCTCGGAAGGTGAGTAATTAATTCATCCATATCTTTTGTCCATCTTCCCAGCCGTCTCCGTTAACCATCCCAGTCTCACTTGTGAGAGCAGGTTGCCATTACAGGATCCCGATCGAAGGACTACTTCGACAAATATGGAGATTTGAAGCGGATCCGAAGGTTGAAATTCTGGCCCATGAATAGGCTTTTGGTCGAGAAATACAAGTTTTCCGACCATGACGCACGAGAGTTTTCAGAATTCCTTCAACCACTCCTTGATTTTGCTCCGGAGAAGCGGCCAACTGCAGGGCAATGCCTACTGCACCCATGGCTTTGCGGTGGAGATCCAAACACGGGGTGATTCTAGAAAAGCTGGTAAAGTTTAAATGGTTGGATGAAGATTTTTTTGTTACAAAAAAGTTCTGAATTGGCTTCCATAATGATTTTGAGAGAAGGTATGTATCTTGAAAATTCTTTTGAAGGATTTATGGAGTTTCGAATATTGTGGAAGAAGGTAGAAGATATTCTGACTTATTGGCCATTTTGAGATGAAAGGAAGTGGCACTATTTAAAGTACCTTCCATTACATTTTCTCTGCAAGATCCATAACCCCATTATGGAGTGATTACAGCTTCTGTAAATGGTTGAGCTTAGGAGGATAAGCCATATCTGAGAAATATTTATTCATTTTGAGTGATGAGTGAGTTGTGCTATTTATGACCTGTTCATCCATTGCATGATTAACTCCAGACTTTGATTCCTTTTTTATGAGGATATTCAGGCATTATTTGTATAAATAACACCATTGAAGACCTCTGATTGTCATTGTATTGATTCTCCTTTCCAAGTGAAATTTAATTATATTATACCCATTTGCCCTGTTGTAATTATGTGTTTTGCTGAAGGTTTAACTCATTGCCATAGATTATCTAATGGATATTACATTTATTTAAGCCCAAATACCTATGTAGCTCAAAATGTTTTGCACAGATTTTTGTTCCAGGAAGAATTTTTTATCAAATGACCATTACATTTATTCCTCTTTGATCGGAAATCTATGGCAGTGTTCTGTGATAGTTAAAGTGTGATATTCTTGGTCAAACATTCAGTTCATCAACTTCGTACAAAGCACATTGATTGGGGCACCACTTTGTTTGGAATTTGATTGATGATGACAATATTCTGTTGAATAAAATAGATTAAAGCAGAATCTGGACTGCATGCTAAAAAAATATACTACTAAATCATAAGTTCACCTATTATAAAATTTTGGTGAATATTAAATCTCGTGCTTGATTGTTCATTCGGGCATTTTGAAGAACAACACAATGCTTAGAGCTCACTTTGATCATCCCTCACTTATCTATAAGTGAAAGATGAGGTGGAGATTGTTATGAAAAGTGATAAAATCTAATGGTTGTAAATTAGATAGTATGTATATTAGGAAAATTGATATTATTTAACATAATTTAAGGAGATCTAATTATATGATCTCTCAGATATTTAATTTTTTTTTAATTTGTAAACCCTAATCATTCCATATTTATATAGTGATTATAGAAGATTTGTATGTTTGGGTTGTGACCTTAACTCAGTCGATTTTTCTTTTTATCCCCACATGATAGTGAAATAATATCTTATTTTTGGTTATTTGTTTGTTGTGTGAATTTATTTTCTGCGTTATTTTGCGCAAGATAACATTGTCATTGCCGGTCCCAAGCCGAGATGAGAAAAGTGAAGAGTTGAGTAAGGTAGTCAACAATCAACGTAAAACTTGTCGAAAAATTCATGACATGAATCTTTTTGATCATTAGAGAATGAAAATGCCACTAAATAAGACACAATGGAGAAAAAAATGATTCATGTAGCCGACCCCACGTTGTGGGATTAAGGCTCTGTTGTTGTTGTTGTATTGTTTTGCACAATAATATAATCATTGCTTTAATTAATATATCAATTTAGTGGCTAAAGGGAAGGTTGGGATTTGAAAAGCCACATAGTTGAATCTAAAACATGCTTTAAGAATGAGAATTTGAATGTGGAGAATTGAACTATTGAACTTCCAAGGTCAAATTTGACTAATGTTGTTTGAGTTGACCAGTAGTAAGCTAACTAGCAGTGAGAAATGGCCACCCTAAAAAACATCACTAGAGCACCACCTTTCAAGACCTTATATGAAAAAAAAAAAAAAACAGAAAATTTGATTGGAAGATTTACATACACACCACTCAAGTCTTGGGTATTTACATATATAAAATCTAAACATCAATATATATAAGGTGTATATACTTAAATTTGAAAAGGTGTATTTTCTCTTAAAAAGTTGAAGTTAGCTCTTCTAAACAATGACACGATCAACATAACCCGACTAGGGGCCGTTTGGTGCAGCTTATAAGTGCGGCTCTGTCTTTTTTAAAAAGCAGTCTACCCGTTTGCTTTGCGCGTTTTTGAAAACGTTGTCTGCCACGTTTAGGTTTTTTAACTAAACGCAGGCCTGCGGGCCGCGTTTCAGAATAAGTTGCTTATCCTGAAACATAAAAGTTGGCCCAAACAGACCCTAGATTACAACCCTAATTTAATTATTGTAATTATTTCTTTTTATATTTTTTATCAGCTATTATTAAATTTGAATGTGTTTAAAATAGTTACATAACAAATTAAATATTTTTATACATATTTTTTTGTTGCTTAAGTATTAAGATTTGAAAAAATAAAAATCGGAATAAATGACTTTTTCATTATAAAAATAAAATTATACTTAGATCATTATTACGTTATATTTCTTCATTAACTAAAAAATTTAAGACATGTATGAAAATATTATTGCTAAAAAAGACTTTAAGCCACTTTAAATATAAAAGTACTTTTAAAATCTCATTTTGTATTAAATTTTTTTATTTGGATAATTATTACATTACATTTCTTCAAGTTATACGCAAATATTATTATAAACAGAAATATTAATAGATTTATTAAACATTTACTTTAAATAAACAAAATATAATTTCGAGCTTATAATAATATTTTCTTGGGAAGCAGCTCCCGGCGAGGATCGAACTCGCGACCTTTCGCTTACGAAGCGAACGCACTACCACTATGCTACGGAAGCAAACAATTGGTGGTTAAAGAGTTGATCTTTACATTATTATACACCAAGTAACCCCTTACGAAATTAAATATTATGAATGAACAGCCAGGTTTTAGGAATTAATTGTTCAAAATTAATATAAGAAAACCTAATTCCATGACTTTGCAAATTAAGGGCCCGTTTGGGGCAGCTTATAAGTGCAGGCGGCGTTTTAAAAACGTCGTCTTACTGTTTAGTTTGTGTGTTTCGTCAGCTTATCCGAAACCGCGTTTGAATTTTTACAATAAATGCAGGTCGCGGGTTGAAACCCGCCCGACCCGCAGGCGAGCCGCGGGCCGCGTTTTAGGTTAAACAGCTTATCGCTTATCTTGAAATGTACAAGCTGCCCCAAATGCAACATAAATATATATGAGAATGACACTTTAGACAACCACAAGAGTATATATTTTTAAAATTATTGATTTTTTTATTAAATTAATCGTTATATTCTTTTAGGTCAAGCAAAAAATTCATGTTATATTATAGGAATGAGAAAACCTTAGTACTTTGCTCAATTAATGTATAAAAAAATATAAATGACCTCTAAAAAAAACATTTGTTGGTAGTAGCTTGATTATTTGTTTCTAAGGAATCTCTCTCCCCCTCTCTTTTTCAGACAAGATGAGGGTCACACCTAACTTTGTTAAAAATAAGAATGAGTGCAACTCAACCCCATAAAAACAAACATAAACAAATGAGAAAAATTTGCGTACGTAAGACGTTTGCAGAGTTACGTACATCGGAGGTTATTGAGAGCGTATTGAGGGGGTATATCCGCGTTATACCCCTTGTAACATCTCTGTAACCTACCTATAACCCCCCAATACCCTCTGAATAACCTCCGATGTACGCAGCGCTGCAAACGTCTTACTTACACAAATTTTTCTCGAAACAAAGAGCATTAGAAAATTAAAATAAATAAATCAAAAAACTTATAAAACAACAAACAATCATGAAAAATCAAAGATACAAAAGTAACACGAGCCCTCCTAAGAAGGTTTGACAAAGAAAAAGCTTTCAGACAGTAAAGATGCTCAATCAAGAACTGTGAACCAAGCCTCAACACAACTTGAATTATGAAGTAACAAATCCAAATAGCTCTGAATATCAACCAAGTATTGTCTCCACCTGAACCCAAAAGAAGAATCAGACACTAGAGAAGAAGATCAACATCCAACAACAGAAGGAGAACAATAAGAATCAGACATCCAACCTTGGCCAAATTTTTTCAAGAAATGCAAGAGCATACCAATATGCAAAATAATAAAAGCAATAAAAAACATTTAATAATATCAAAGTATTGATAAGGAAATGCTAAGATATTTATTTACACGTGTTAATAATCCAAAAGCCCAACACAATCGACCATAAAAAGGTCAAAGAAGGAGCAATGAATAATAGCGAATAAGAGAAAAAGAAGAGAAGCAATGAGATATATAAACGATCCCAAAGAAAAGAAGCGCAAAAACTTGAAAGATGGATAAAGTTCATATTAAAGCTTAAGCTAAAAAGCAAATGAAAGAAAAGCAATGAAATACCTTCCAAAGAGTCCAAGGATTTAAATAAAAAAAAAAAAAAGCAACAATGAAAATTTCACAAGATCGATCTGACAACAGATAAGAAGCTCAACATTCATAAGGAGAACGACCAAATAAAGAAGAAGAAACACATCCAACCAACATGAACAAAATCAAAAAGAGAATGCACAACAAACAACATAAAATGTTAAAGAAATAAAAAAACATCCAATAAGAACAACATATGAGCAAAATCCAAGTCCAGAAAGATAGATAAACCTCAAATAAAATAAAAGATTAAGAAAAATGTGCTCATAAACTTACCCAAAAGAAACATATGGAACTTCCTTCCAAGCATTATGGATATCTAAAATAAAAAAGGCCATAGTTATTAAAACAAAAAACAATTGAATTTTAATAACAGGTAGGAAACCAACAAAACTCAACCCAAACTAAACAAAAGAAAAGAACAATAATAAAATAAAATGGATCATAAAGAAAAAAAAAACAAAAAAAAAAAAGCAAAACGAATAACCCACCAAAAGATTAGTATAAATTCAAAGCAAAAATATAGGGAAGTAAAGAGATATAATCAAAATAGATAATAAACTAAAAAAAGAGAAGAACGCGACAATCTAAACAAAAGAGAAAGCAAAAACAGCCTAAATAAACAAAAAATATCACAAAAAAATAAATATAATTATTTATAAAGATCATTAAAATACGAAAGAATATCTTCTTTATACTTTCATCTTCTACCATTCCAATTAATAATTTTATAAATATTAAAAATCATAATAACAATACAAGAAAAAAATTATTTAAAAATTCTTTCATTCCTCTCTCTACAAATATAATAAGTTAAGAAAATTTTCTTAATAATATTAGAAACAAAAGAATCTACTTCAATGATAATGAAGCGTTATTATCACTTAAAATATAAAAATTCTCATGAGGCGTATAACTCTTTATTAAAGAGTGGTCAAACTTACAATAAAAAAGGTATAATTATGAGTTACATTATGATTCAAACATCTGACTTATTAATCATAATACCTCTGACAATCAATGCATCTTTAGTTTTGGGAAAGCTGCAATGGAAAAGTTGTGTGTATGTTTGTATTGTAGAGCTGTGCAACAGTTGTTTATGAAAAAAAAAATGATATTTTTTATTTTGTATTGGTGTGTTGTTTGTAAGATAATCATTCCAGACGTAATAACTCGTTCATGGAAATAGAAAGTACATTCAAAACCCTCTAAAACTCATACGTTCAAATAGTACATCTAGAGCTGGCATCTCACTTAACAGTGAGTAACATAACAATAAAAATAAAAA